TTGACACAATTACTTTGCATGGTGACAAAATTTCCGACTTTCTGGCCCAAAATCCAATTTGGACAAAAATTCCAGCCCACTGACATTTAAAGGCACTTTGCAATTTCCTTCCCACCCACGTATGCAGCTGCATGGTGAGGAAACACACATGTTCCACTGAACAACTGGCATATGACAAGACATTTTATTCTCATGCCCCAAAAGGCTAATAAGACATTCTCTGCATTAATGTCTGATCGCAAACTTCCTCCTCCACAGTCTCTTTATTTATAGCTATAGTCTGACCCTGCTCTCTCATTTGTTTAGGGATTCATACAGATGAAAGATGCATTTAGCTTTTCCTCCCATGCCCATCACTAATCTGTGATTGCTACAGATCCATTTGAAGGAAAAATTTGAAAAAAAAAAAATACACCTAAAAACAGCTGAACAAGCTGATAGTGTTTTGGCAAACAGTAGTTAAGAATAGTGACTTCCCGGAGTCACGTCATTGGGATTTTGCCAGTTTGACACTGTGATCAGCTGCTGTTTGGGGACTACCTGCTCTCATCGGGTCGGCCTGTCAAAACATCCATAAGGTTGTTAAAATTCAGTCATCAGTCAGCATTTATTTTGGTCTCAGATGCTGGCTGGCAGTCAAGTGTGACATCCGGTGGCAGTGACGATTGTTTACAAAACCTTTAATAAACTAATTTTCACATATATCTGTGCAACTTAGAGATTTCCATTAAACTAAAGTATCAAATTGGAGAATGTTTTAACAACACATTTTATGGTATATTTCTCTTTCTTATCTGCCCCTAACGTCCGGGTGATCATGTCCTCTCCAGTCTGTACCTTACTGTCTGAATTGTGATATCACCTCCCATCTTACTTTCAAAACAGGGCAATTCCACAACCTTACAAAATTATACAAGGCTGGTGGGTAAACACGTAACAAATGTGTGGTTAAGAGTGAGATTTTGTTGACCAAAGCAAGAACTTATGTCCTCCTTTCTAAGGCAAATGTCAAGTTTACAGCACATGGCGTCCTCTTTCTTCTCTTGTTCATGACTGAGAAAATATTTTCCATTGCTATAAATGGCAGACACTGTCCAAACAGCACATGCGTTGTTGCCTTTCACAGGCATGTAGCATTTACCAAACTGTCTATCTGCCGTGTACTTTGTTTGCTCTGTCGCTTACACTATTATGCCTTCAATTTGGAGAGAGGAAACTGTTTTCTTATGACCACTCCTCAACATTTCTCTGCTCACAAACGCATTATGATTATATTATGTGTACGTGTTTCTTAGCAACTCCAAATGAATGGGCAAGAGCTGAACGATGCTGGAACATTTAATTTTACACTTAAGTGGAACGACCTGATAGTGCTGCGCTGAGAGATGTTTTAACTGGGCTCCTGAAAGATCCATCTTTCAGAGAGTCATTTAGTCAAGACAAATGGAATACCACAGACAGGTGGTCACATTTTCCACAGTCAGTCATTTTCCTCAGTCATGCGTATAATTCAAAGGAGAGAAGTGAAAAGAAGGCCTATATTTGGGAGGATTCTGATATCCAGCACTAAATGCTGTGAGATTGAAGGATTAAGAAAAAAAGGTCTTGGAATGATTTGAAATGAAACAGAAGGATTAGTACAAAACAAAAATGTACAATTTGGCTTAATCTGTGTGATTGTTAAATGACCAAGTTTGCAAATTCCTATAAAATATTTAGGCACAAACAGCACTGAATGTTTTCCATGGCTAGATACAGATACACATATACAGATATCATTTTTGTTTAAAATAATTCACAGCAAAGGAGAGTGTGTAAAGTGCATTCAGAAAGTATTCAGACCCCTTCAGTTTTTTCACATTTTGTTATGTTGCAACCGTGTGCTAGAATAAAAATAAAAATCCATCTTCCGTCATTAATCTACACTCATTTACGCATAATGAATGGATTACCCAAAACACAAATTTAAAAACTCTTGCAAATTTATTAAAAAAGAAAAACTGAAATATCACATTGATGGTTCCTCCCTTCTCTTGATAATCTTTGAGATGTTTCTACACCTTGATTGGAGTCCACCTGTGGTCCAATCAGCTGATTGAACATGATTTGGAAAGGCACACCTGTCTGAATATGGTCTCACAGCTGACAACGCAGAACAGAGCAAAAACCAAGACATGAGGTGATGGACCTGCCTGCAAAGCTCAGAGACAGGACTGTGTTGAGGCACAGATCTGGGGAAGGCTACAAAAACATTTCTGTTGCATTGAAGGTTCTCAAGAGCACAGTGGCCTCCCTCAGTCTTAAATGGAAGAAGCGTGGAACAACTAGGACTCTACCTAGAGCCAAACTGGAGCAATCAGGGGAGAAGGGCCTTTGTAATAGAGGTGACCAAGAACAGGATCTCCTGAACCTCTCAGTGCTGCAGCACAGTGAGGTGAGACATTGCTGCAGCTGTAGTGGCTTCTCTGTCCTGCCCGAATGTTGTGAAGAGGGGGGTTGGTACTGTCCAAGATGGCCTCCATCACTGCATGCTTCTTTTTGACCAGTCTCCTTGTGTAAGCGTTCTTCTTAGCATCATGCCTGGTTTCCTCCAAACATGACACTTTTAGTCGAAACAATTGAATCTTGGTTTCATCAGACCAGAGGATCTTGTTTCTCACAGTCTCAGAGTCCTTAGAGTCTTCTGCCATATAGTCCAGATTGTTGGAGTTTTGCAGTGGTGGTTGTCCTGTATGTATGCACTGTATGAAAGAAAGACTGCAAGATTGAAAGAACAGAGCATTGCTCTGTTTTTAGACCACACAATCTAATAACATTTTTTCTTCTATGTGCTCGGGGAAGCAGGCTCAGGAGCAGATCTGTCGAAGCAGATTATCATGTAATTACTCCAGAGAACTCCAAACAGCCCTGCAGCAAGAAACATGACTCTGTCCAGTCTTCTTTTTTTTATCAAACAGTGGCTGCACATGAAGAGCATGAAGAGGACTGAATTTTACCCAGTATCAAATGGTATTTAAATCAGTAGGTAATGAGAGGTTTGGGTCCATCCTCAGCGGAGCAACAGTTACAGTACGGATCTACTTTTAATAGCAGAAAGGTTTACCTCCTTCAACTATAACTTGCATTGCTTGTACATGATACAAGCGAAGCTAACCACACAGCCAAAAGTTTTTTTTGTTTGGTTAAAGCTGCTATATCGATATTTTTATGCAAGCAATGGATCAAATGACTGGGTGTAATGTGAAAGGCCATCCTTCCTCCAGATGACCAGGCTTTATGTGTGCAGACAGTGTGAGGAAGACCCTCTCCGGGGCTGAATGGTTACTGCCCCACAGCACTCATCAGTAAGTGCTTTGAGAGGCTGGTCCTGCAGCACAAGAATCCCCATCACACTTGAACCCTTACAGTTTGCTCACCACTTCAACCACTCCTGTAACATCTGCCCTCCACCCAGCCCTGTCCCACCAGGGAAGAAAGAAAGCCTTATGGGGCCATTTACCATCTTTCAGCATTGTTTTGGTTTTCGGCTTTGCTTTGTGGCTAACTCTCACCATTCTCAGCGCACATACAGTACACTTTCACCTGTACCAAAATGAAGAGCGGAGAAGCTTGAATTACAACACATACAGAGGGGGTGTGACTTGGTTCTGTGCTAAGGACGCCATTACTCTAATAAATCTTTACATAGACAATAGTTCTTTGCTGCTGTTTTGTTGTTTAAAATCTCTTTTACAAAATGATAATATGTCAGTGTTTTTGTTTACATCTTGTTCTGCCGCCCTCAAGTGGCCACAAAATGAATTATGTTATGAGGACGTATTGACTGTTTGTTATTTTATTTATTTAGAGAACAGCTTTTTTCAGTTTTGTGTAAAGATTTGTTGATATTAAATCATTATTTTATAGACCACGAGCAAACAAACTATTCATGTGAAAAGGCCCTAACACATGCAGTGTGGCGTTGTTTTCTTTGTCTTCTGTCTGTTCTTGTGATAAACATAGAAATAATCAATGCCAGAGAACATTGTCTCTGTGTAAATTGATAGTTTTGTTGAAATCTGTTGGGTATTAAACATCTGCGAGTGTATGATTTTGAAATGAATAAATGTGTAAGTAACTTTATTCAATAATTATGGGAGGGGTGACCCCCAAAATGTCTGTGCACGGCTCTGGCTGTTTTAGTGCCAACAGCCTACTCATGTCAGATTTGGTAACTATAATATGCATTAAGGTCATTTTAGGTATTATGTTTTCTAGTGCCTTTGACACCCTATAGCACACCAGTGGAAATTTTCACTGACTGTCTAATGTCTGAGAACACCATGGAGTGAAAGTGTTTGGATTTGTATTTCTGTGTGGGTGAGTTTCGCCTGTGTCCCATTCGGGGATAAAACGTGTGTCACCAATTTGGTTTCACTCCAGCTGCGTTTAGCATCTCTAAATGATTTCTAACTTAATCAGGGTTAAGGTTAGTTTAGCCAACAGCTTCAGGAAAGTAGGTAATTAAATCACAAATCTGTGATTATATTTTCATGTTCACATCTGAATACAGTATGTGCGTTTCCAGCCAGTGGTGAAAGTGCTGAGCACGGATGGGAACTTTCAGGTTTCTGCGTGTTTCCTCCTCTGGCTCCGGCTCAGACATGAGGCTCATGTGATTTGGAAACTATAAATTGCCCCTGGTTGTGAATGTTTGTCTTTCTGTTTGTGTGTATGCTGGCTCTGTAATAACAGCCTGGCAACCTGTACAAAGTATTACTCCACCTTTTTCTGAGTGCATGCTGAGATAGCAGAAAGCATTCCACTCCGCCGATCCTGAATAGGAATAAGATTCACCACCCCAAAAAAACAGCAACTTTATATTTGTGAGATACCACTAAGCAGGCTGCTGACACTGAGGCCTCTTAGTTCAAGTGTCTCTGGGGGGAGGGGGGGGGGGTTGTGTGGAACATGTCTTTGGGTAGCATGGGAACGGCCGGGCTCAGTCTGGGAAAGGAAGCAGGCTGTCTGTTGCTGTTGCACAATCAAATTAGCCTCCGAGTTGCACCGATAAGAAACTGGACCAGATAACCACAGAAGCTTTTTGTGACCATTCAGTTGTGCACGTTAGTTGGCCGGTACATAAATGATTTGAAGCATCTTCAGCACAGGTTCCACTCGAGGTTTTAACCAGGGATCTAAAAGGGAAACAATAGCAGCAACAAAACAAAAAAAAGCTGAGGTATGTGCCTGTGGAGCATTTTTTTTCTTTCTTTATCATTCTAAGGTTTTAACATTTTATACCTGCTTTACATAACTGATAGTTGTACTGAGTTCAATATCTGATTCTTCTGTTTCATTTATATGAAGAACATGAAAGACATTAAACACATTTATTTTATACAGTTTCATAAAATCTCAAGTCTTCCGTATGGACCTGTAACTAACTTGACAATTTAGGAATAAATTGAATGCTTCATAAGAGCACAGCCATTACATGATTGCACATTAAAGGAAAGGGGGGAAAAAAAAATCCTCTTCTCACAGCATTCCCTGGTAACATCTGTTTTCAGTGTCTACCTCCCACGAGATAAATTCATTAATTTGTGGGAATGTCCAGGAAGCAGATGGCCGTCACGTCTGTTTCATACAGAGCTTATTGTCATTATTTTTATTATTATTTTCAAAATGTGAGGCCGGACCTGGAGTAGAAACTGTTCGAGCCTGATAAATGTAAGGGTAACGTTTCAAATTTTAAGGAGTGCCACATCTAGTCTGAGTTCAAAGGCATCTTCTTCAGTTTGAACACAGGTCAATCGTGTATCAGGTCTATAGCAAGAAATTGTTGGTTTTCAGATTCATTTCCATTTCCTTTGTAATTCGGTTAGGCTTTTAATCAGGCTCCTGTCTTGCACATTATCTCTCAAGTGTGGGAAAATGGATTTTCCAGCTGGACAAAGTGTGCCTGTCAGCCTGGACATGCCAGATATCCTGAATTGAGCCAACAAACATTTTGCAGGATTAAGTTGTTTACAGAGGAAGCAGAGAAGTCGTTCTATCCCTGACACAACCACCAATCAATTTTGCTTATATTTAATAGTGAAAACAGTGGGGTCCACTGAATTCATGCCTGTTGGTCCTAAATGACTGGAGCAGAACACTGTGTCCAAAATCACATCGTGTGACACTGATAAAAAATGTTTGCACAATGTACAATATTTATAAGTGATTCATTGCTGAATTAAGTTATTTGAAAATTTGTAATATGTAGAACAAGTGTTTTCCTTCCTCATAAATTAACTTTCACAATGATTGTTTCTGTTAACAGATGGGGTTGGCAGTATGCTTGCTGGCACTTGTCCTCACCTGGACAGGTAATCCATAATATTGACACAGCTTAGTTTATAGATGAGCGGGATCAGTTGGTGTTTGCTGGGTTGACAGGCGGTATTTGATACCCATTATCAAATTACTCGTTTTATGCTCATTCATCTGCAGTTAGACTAACAGAGTCTCAGCAGAGTAACCAGGCTGTATCTGCCCCACGACTGACCACATGTTGGATTTTGTTATTTTCTGGCCATCAGAGGAGAAAGAAGGAGGAAAAGGACCTTAAAATGCTACTGTGGACACACAGTGTGGACTTGGAGTCTCATTTAGTCAGTGAGGGATATTTACTCTCCTAGGCAGCACCATCTGGCAGAAAACAACAAATGTGGAAAAGGATAACAGCAGGAAAGAGCTTTAGAGAACGATTTTCTTCTAAATTACAAAGTATTTCTATACTATTTCCAACACACTATTTCTTTGATATGTTAACCAAAACAACATCTGGTATAGTTTCTAATTGAGGTGAGTTTTGTTATTTTTTTTGAAGATTACTTTGTTTCTACTTATCATGAAGCAACCATGCTTAATGATGATTTCCGTGATATTAGCTGCTCTTGAAATATGTCAGGACTGATAACTCTCTCTCATGTTGAGTGCTGTTTTCTCCAGGAATGGCTGTAAAAGTTGTTCCACCATGTGACCACCACATGTTTGACAGTAATGTTGACAACTGCCTGTCAGAGTTCAACAGCAGCATGGAGACAAACAGCTATCAGGACAGGTGCCCATGGCCTACTGTAAAACGGTAAGTTGAAGTTTCTTTTTAAAGTCATTTAGCTAGCTATCAGACTCTAATTAGTTGTAGTTGAGGGGATAAGCTGTCGTTCCTCAGCAACATTGTAGAGCCCGGTGAGTGAGAACACAGGGAGGCTGGATAAAGTGGGACATTACACACTTTTTTATGGCCTTCTCAGTAAAGATATATGACCTTTAGTAATGGGAAAGTCAGATACTTTCCTGTTTCCTGGCATCATTTGGTGCAGGTCAGAGTTACAGCTAATTAGTCATCAGTTAATGACAAAGTGCTAGACTGTTGCTCCTGGGCTTCATATTTCCAGACAGCAGTTGTTTGTGGAGACTTTCACTCTTGCCATCTACCTACAGTAGACTTTCATTTTGGCTGTAATAATCCATATTTTACTGTTAACATGCTCTGAGCCTGAGCTCTCATAGAGCTCAAATGGCATGTTAGGGTGAAGTGTCCATCATCACAAGGAGCCCAGCTTGTTGATCAGGCTTCCAGCTGTCAGGCTCAATTGAATCTCATTGGACATTTTCCACACTAAAATCTCATCGTGACAACTGCCTGTGAGGTTTCCGCTTCTCCGCCCAGAAGACGTGACAGATCAAAACTTAACAGTGAAATGTTAGCTGCTAGCTCCTAAACATCAGTGGCTGATTGTTCCATCCATAAAAAGCTTGGAGCCGCCATCACTAGATGTGTTTGGCTGATGTCCATTTGCATTATCTTAAAGTACTTATCTTATATATCTAAGTTGCCTCTTCTATTATGCAAAGCTGCGTTGTGCAGCTTTAGCTATGAATTCAAGCCTCACTCTTGCATGGAAATCAGATGAATGGGAATGTAATCGGGTTTAGTCAAATGAATAAGCAAATTATTTAAATCTTGATCGTGATCTTTTTAACACTGTCCTTTGGCTTTCTCTCTTCCTCTGCAGCATCTACAACAAACTGAAGCTTTGTGTGGACAACTGGGCGAATTTGTCTTGGTGTAGGGGTCATAGGTTTCTGGTAGACAAGGTCTTCTTGGATGTCCATGAGACGTACTTTTCACTGTGTGGACAGGTCCACGACCCCCCACTCCATACTCTTATCATGTTGATAGCACCTGTTATAATTGTCACACTCTTAATGACTCTTTTGTGTTCTTATCTCACCAACTGGAACATAGAGATGCCGGGCACTTTGGGGCTCTGATGTGCTGAGCTGACCAAGACATGGTTCTGGGGGATCATGCTAATTTTGCACTTGCTACCTCCAGAAGGCCTACAAAGAAAATCCAAACATTTGTTGACTAAATCATCGTGATAATCATAAATCTTTTCAGATAAACCTTAATTTTTACATAAAACATTTTCACGTCTTTGAGTCTGAAGAAAAGTAATCATCAAAAGTAGCCCCCAGGATTAGCCACCCTGTTGGCTGACCAAATTGCTTCAGATTGCTTTTTGTCTGTGCTAGCTGGTTTGTTTGCATGTGAAAGGCTGTATATTATTCAATTTAGTGTGTGGTTATTGTTTGAGCAGTAGTATCACATTACAAATACACACAATGACTAGTTTGGTTAGCAAGTTACCCTAGAAAGTAGATCCCCATGAATTTAGCAACAATAGCTAATCCAGGGGGCTAATTTCTGTATATGCTTTCAGTCTCATAAACAAGCATTTGAAATATTTCATTTAAAACTTTAAAGTTATTTAAAAGTTTATTTGTAAAGCTGTTTGACCCTTGAGCTGCGTGGCTGGCTGTTTTAAGCAATCTCTACGGAGGTGGTGAGTGTGAACTTGGCGTGACCCACGGTCAGAACAGCCACAATTATGAAAATATGTTAAAAAAACCACTGCAATTTTCCTTTAAATATATGCATCCACACATATACAGAAAGAGTCCAACATATAACACTCCACTTATCAAAGTATCGATTTACGGGCAATATTTTCCATCATTCAATATGTTCATATCCTTTCCTTTTCAAATGAAGACATGAATTGTTGAATATCAAAGGTGCACTATGACTTTTACGGAAAGTGTCAAGCCATTTATTGTTGTAGTAGTGTTTTCTCCTCCAATGTCAAATGTGAAATGTTCTGTATCTCTCTATAGAGTGCTGCAGGAATGAATCCTAAAAACCTGAAATTAGTTAGCACCCGAAGCCTATGAATTATTTAATGGGTTTTTGGTTAGATGACTGAAATAAGGTCAAGACATTTTCATGTTTTATTCTATGACGTGAAATACAGTAAATCGGTAAATCCCCCAGTCGTTGAAGTCATGTGACCGTGGTGTGGTTAGTTATAGCCTAAAATTTGCTTTTTACTTCTGGCGATTGTATTTATGCTCTAAAAATCATAAATGTGGTATTCATTTGTTTTTATCTTACTGAACAAAACATGTAAGTATCATACACTTTTTTTGTCACAGAGCTGATTTTCTGCTGTAATTCAAAAGCCAATGTAAAAATGTCATCAGTGTTTTGTCAAGGGAAGCAGGGAAATGCTAACCTCCAGGTTGGGCTTCAAAAATACGTCATCCCTGCAGCAGCACTATGGCTGGGTGTGTCATGAGGTTTTGTAAATCATATCATTTATTCTGTAGACATAGAAAATTATACTTGTCTGTCTGACTACTTTTCTGTGAATATCTGAATTTTCTGGAACTCATGATTTTGTTTTATGTGGTTAACCTCACCCATTTGGCACTTATGGTAAGTAGGCAAAAACAAAACCTTAATGATTTAACACATTCATTTCACTTCAAAGTGTGATAGGCTACCTAAAACATTTGTATAGGATTGTAATTTTTTAAGCTGACAAAAGAGAAGGATTCTGTTTGTATTTGAAACACATAATAAATATTTATTTCAGACAAAAAAATAACATTTTACAGTTGTTCGAAAACCTCTTTACAGCAATAGCAGGATGGACCTGCTATTCAAGTATCCACACAACCCAAGTGTCAGTCTGTGTAATAAATGCAAACATACTGCATTTCATAAAATCATCAGATTAATACATCAAATGATTTTTGTGTAGACCTATTGAAGACCATCTGTGTGTTATCAAAACAATGTAAAGCTCCATTAAGCAATGTGTTCAATTTTAACATTGAATCTAATGACTACAATGTGAAATGGATGCTAGTACTGCTGATCTCACTGAGAATCAGCATCTACATCTGCAGTTGTACGTGCCCAGCATGACAGGGAGCCGAAGTAAACAAGGGCATTGAAGAGAATTCAGCGTCTAGCAGTCCAAAGAGAAACACACCATTTTTCCTAAGAACTGGTGGACCACACCAGAGGCAAATTGTACAAAAATACTGGACTCCAATGGGATGGCCATGGTGTTGTGATTCTGCTGGATGTGGAACGAGGCAATTACTTGCTAGTACATTAACCAGTATTCCTTGACAAGTTGAAATGGCATATCAAGACTTGTTGTTGAAGAGTTGCCGTCTGTGCTCTCGATGTTAAATGCTTATTGCAGCTTTAACAGCGTTCTGAGATTAATATTGATATTTCATGGAAACCATATATTTAGATGAGTGGTATGGATATCAGAACTAAAAAAAAAAAAAATACTATCCGGGTGGCGTCATCATAATTCTGTCACCAAAAAATCAATAACTAAATAAAATTAAATATATAACATTTATAAGGATAGTATTTTATTTACAGCAAGGGAGATCACCAACATGTGTCAATTAAGAACAAAATAAGGAAAATAATCCCACTAAGGAACTAACCCTTTGGTATGCAGTGCAATTTAAGAAAATGTAATGGCATTGCTGTAGTTATAGCTATAACTCTATTGATCTTGAGAATATCAGCTTGACCAACCTTATAACAGAAGAAATAGTTTCACAAATATCTGATTTATAGTTAAATAACGGTTGAACCTAATATACAATTCCATACGCTAGAGCTCCGAGATGCCCAGACGCCTTTACTCAAACCAATGATCTTGAATTAAAGGGGCTCAAAAATAACAGAGCCTTAGATTTGGGTGGGTGGTCTGTCCTGCTACTTTGGTGGTGTAAGGCGACGAAATGTGGTGAACTCAAAACATTGACGAGGCAGAACTTTTCGAGGGTCAAAAAAACTATTTTTCCCTTTTTGTTCTTGCGTGTTTCAACATCCAGGGCCCAGACAGGACCGAGTGGCAGCACCACACCTTTTATTATCTTAAATAATACCCACAATTCCATTTTTTTTCCCTTGTGTAAATACTGAAAGGATGTTTTGCTAAGTATACGCTCGCCGGCTCAGTGTGGGCTATGGCCTGCTCAGACCCACCAGTTCTTGTCATAACAAGAGCACGTGGACGTGTTGAACAGGCTTAACAGACTTGTATTCTCTGATAATAAAGAACATAGACCCCTGTGACTCCTTTACCACGGTGGGTCAACCAGCACAGCAAATACAGAGCTCCACTGGATTTAGATGGCAGATGCCTACTGATGCCAGCTCCCTATGACTGAAAAGTTAAGTGCCAAGGCTTACATCAGATTTTAATGGGCTAATTTAGTATAGGTTAAGAAAAAATAACGACTGCTTAATTATTCTTACCTGCTTTAAAATAACATTTATTTTAATAGCTTAATCTTTATCAGATCAAAATGTTGTTGATCAATCACACTTGGTGTCCATCATATATCTGTTGCTCCTAACATTGCCCTTGGAAGTGTTGTGCGTTTAATTAACTAACTATAAGCTTGTGCTGGTTATGTACGGAAGTTAATTCATGACCAAACTGTTAATTGAACACAAAACAAATTCAAGCTTTAATCAGTGTAAGAGTATAAATACATATTCATAAACAAGTTTTAAGTAAAACCCAGTTTTAAATCTTATTTTTCAAAAGCAAATTCAACAGAGTTTTAGTTCTTGAGAATGTCAAACTGCTTGCCAACGTTTTTGTGGTTGAAGGCCCGTTAGTTTCATAATTAAAATCTTATAACCAAAGGATGTCCCAGGTTAACTTCAAAGGACTACTCTGCTTTCTGTTGGAGTTCACATCAAAGAAATATAAACTGCCAAAACACAGGATGTGTGACAAAGAGCAGAGGAACCTTTCTGCTGGCTACTATTGAGGACGGACGGGTTATGTCCTTAAATCTTTTAATTAATTGATTAATTAAATTTATGTTTGATTTAGTTCCCGATAGAGGTTTTAAACAATCATGTAGTGATTCTCTGTGACATAATTGTTTTAAATGAAATGATTTTTTTTTTTTTAAATAAAACAGCTAAATTAATTAAGGATAACAAGAAAATATTAATATTAAAAGAACATTTTACACATTTTTGCCATCTCTCTTCAAAATGATTTGTGGATTTTTATTTTCAATATCCTGGCTAAGAGCCTGTTCACTCACATCTACATCTTTAACCCTAAATCATCACTTGAATTTGTTGGTGGTCACCCCAGGAAAATCACGTATCTGAAAACACAGGCAGCCCAACATTTACATTCAGTAATGTCTTGAAAACAGTGGGGCCAAATATAATGGAGAAAATTTATCTTAGCCCTCAGTTTATCCATTCTTGTCTTTGTAAACCCTGAAACATAAACACGTGGTTGGAAAGGTCCATTAACAACACAGCCAATTACAAATGAGACCGCTATGCAGTGCTAATGTAAAGCACGTTCAATAACTCATTAAGTTTTTGAGCTGCAGAATTAAATACACACTCCAGCAGGTGTATGCTTCACATCAAAGTGAAGCTTCAAGTGGAGGCCTGAAGAGAACAACGGGGGGGGGGGGTTAATTTACGGTTAAAAGTCCATGTCACTTCACTGGAGTAAACACATTATTCTCTCTCCTTTTCTCCATTGTATAACACAAAAGCCTGGACTGTGCGCCATATATTTTTTACATTGCAAGTGTTGGATTGCCTTGACCGCTTTATGTACACAAAAAGACAACAAACTAAAGGCTGGGAAGCGATATTTACAGATCGAAGGTCAGTTTCCCCTGAGACAAAATTCTTGCATGGCTTGGAATGTAGGACATGGTTGTGTGGAATAGCGTGTACATAAATCCTAATACACTGCTGAGCCTTAAAAGTATATGGGATATACTTTTAGAATACCACTATCCGCGCTTTGGAGTCGGTTGTATACATGCAGCCACAAAACCATCTGGTGAATACAACAAAACATGATGACTTCTTTTTTTTTTTTTTTTTTCCTATCCAGCTATTTACAGAAACCTCTTCAGCTGCAACACAGTGTCTCTCTACTGATCCCCACTAACACTTCTTTGTTGCTGCACATGCAGTGCAGAAATGAAAGATGTTAGAAGATTGAGGAATTCTGCACAAACTTCTGAAAATGTTATTTATCGCTTAAATATTGATTTGTTTTTTTTAGGTGTGACAGTATGCAGAAGCTTTCTTGCATTTTGAATTGGCTAATCCTTCTTATCTTACATCTTTCTTTTATTTTGAGCCAAACTTGATTATCATCCAACAAACATCCAGGCTCCAAGGCTTCTTCTTGTTGATTCTCCACCTCATGCTTAAATCTGACAACATTTACTGAACGTCCTCCCAAGACTAAGTATTGGGTCTGTGCACAACTCACATGTTACGGAATAATCAAGTGAAATTCTGTGCCATTTCTTTGTACAGCAGCTCTTACAAAAGTGCGTTTCTGTGTGGCACAAGTGAGGTTTCTGAAAAGTGTTTAATGGTGCTCGCAGTATTGGAGGTGAAAACTAAATCTCTTGGTATTTCAAAACAACTCTGAACACAGATGGTACATTATAATTCCAAGCTCACAGTCTTACTGTACAATGCATCATTCATACATTCTGCCAACACTCAACTGTTCCCCAGCATTTTTAGTACTTGTGTGTGTTTGCTTAGTTTCTATGCTTTCCCAGTCAAGTGTGTTTTTATATTATTCATGACATCTGTTAAAAATGCACCAGGCTGTGGAAATCTTGCAGAGAGGATGAAAGAATGGATGAATACACAAATTTTCTGTTTGAGCGTGTCAACCTACACAATGTTATTTTTACCTTATGCTAACTCTTATAGCAGTTTAAGCTGTTTGGAGTCTAAACGTCACTGAGAATCTGGGTTGGCATTGAGTCCAAAGGACACATAATAAATAGAACAAAGTAGAAAAATAAGGTTGAGACCATGTTAGCTATTTAGTTATACACCCGAGGTCACAATAATAAGGTCAGTGGACTGGTATGTTGGGCATTAAACACGTAACAAAGTACGATATCACCCCGAGAAGAAAGCATCTGCAGGGGTGTTGGTTTCAGGGGGAGACTACCTTTAGAGAGGAGGCTGTGTGCCAGGGAGCTCAAGCTGGCAGTGACAAAAGTGAACTTTCATCCAGTCAAAGTGCTCATTACTAAAAATCTCTACAGAAAGGAAAAGGACTACTCAACTCCTTGCTTGCACATCACTGCAACCTATCGGCAGTGTAAAGGGAAAAGGCTGCTAAATTACGAAGGCAGTGGGATTCTTTCAGGGCTTTGAGATTTAGGGTCAATTCACCTGAACAATAATACATTTTGATGAAAGTCCACTTCCTGAATGAAACAAAATGAAAGGAAATTGACCCTATTTCCCACTTTCAGTGCCTAAATTAGTCTAAATCATTCAGTCTGCTGTAGCCCAAGAGGTCACCATCATCATTGCACTTATGCCCAGAACCTGCAGAGTAAATAAAGGGATAGATAAGGATAAAAAGTTGGGTTAAGTCTTCGTGTAAATTAGGTTGTTTTGCTAGATTTGCATCTTCCACTTCAGGTGGGGTGCTCAGAGCTACTCGCTGGCCTCTGACAGAACATCTTCGGGGAGGTTGACACAACACCACTACTACCACAGAGATCTAACATTAGGTGTGCTCTTTTTAAAAAAAAAAAAAAAAAAAAAAACTGGAATAAACAATGCTAAGAAGTTTTTATCCAGCTATAGCTTTTGTATATTTTACAAACACCTTCATGGTAGCTCCTCTCTGGCTTTGTCACGGCCGAGGTTTCCAAAGAGGCTCACTCTGACTGTTCGGAGCTGGAGAATGGAAGAAGTCCTGTTGGCTGGGTCCACTTTAAATCTACACAAGCATGTGGATCTCGTTGTACTCATCTCGTCCGTCTTCATCAAAGTTGGGAGAATCTTCGTCACAGTCCAGCTGTAAAAAGACAAATTATATTTGTTATTATATCAGTTTCATTCAAAGTTTGAACAGGTCACAGTTAGGAAACACTAAACCAGCACTAGAGCTTTTGGCCAGTGAGCTGTCAACTGAATTCTGGTGTGGACGAGACCATTTGAAAAATCCGGTCTCTGTCCACTTCATGGCCAATCCTGGCGCATTTTAGCATAGTTGATGTTATTTATGCAGGAATTCAACAGCTAAACTACTGTTTAATCTGCTAATTACAAAAAGCCCAACATTTTGAGAAATACGCTTCTTTGCTTTCTTGCCCAGAGTTAGCTGAGAAGATTGATACTACTCACAACTCTCTAAGTATGAAGCCACTACCAGCACACGGCTAACCTAGTTTAATATAAAGACAGTGGGAAACAGCAAAGCTCTTTCCAAAGATAACAAAATCCACCTTTAAAGCTCATGAATTAACACATTACATCAGATTTATTTCATCATACAAAAACTGTAAAACAACAAATGTGCAGTAGCTCCATCCATATTTAGCACCCATACATTAGAGTGGTATCAACCTCTTCATCTCACTCTCAGCAAGAAAGTGAATACACATATTTCCAAAAATGTCAAACTATTCCATTATGAGTGCAATCTCATCAGCTTTATAAGCAGTGTATAGCCTATACATATGCACAAATTTGAATGTCAATATGTATAAAATGCAGCTATCACACATTAACTATCCCCACAATATCATAGCACAGAATGTCTCCTTTTTGTCCCCTTTCCCTGTGTTCATCACTATTTATGACATATGAGGTACAATGACAGTCTCAACCAACAGTGTCATAATTATTTCTTTATGAGTTCTTTGTGAACACAAGAAACGATAAATAACCATATAGGGAGCATTAAAGTGAAAGTTTGGTTCATCCACATGGGTACACGCTGTCCAGCTTGATGGTGCAGAATGTCATCATTAGAACTGTCCAATCAATGGGTTACCTGTCAGTCTGTATGACTTTATGATTTCTGCTCTTAGTTTGTTTGTAAAAACTAACCTTGTGTAACCTTGAGTAACCTTGCGTATATAAGAATGAAGCTCAGAGGGTTGAGGAATCTGATAACATGGACGTCCAATTTTCAAGTTTCATTTCATTCAGTGGTTAAGGTCGTTTTACGGTGCCTTGAGTTCATGAGACCTCTGGATGAACACAACACAAATGGTGGTCGAGTTAAGAACAAAGCTGTTTATTCTAGCTCCTGAGGAAGTTGACATTTTGGAAATAGAAGGTTTTAATCTGACAGTGATGACATGTATGGGTTCAGGAGATCAAACCAAGAAAACATGAAGCCTGGCTTCACGATGGACCGTGAATCTTTTTCTGGGTAGAACCCAGAGCAAAAAGAAATATTTGCATATCATCTGAAAATATTTGGATGAGAAATCTGTCCATGATCACATAGGAGAAAATCATCAGGAATGTTGAGTGTGAAGCTCATTTGTAGCATTTCTTTAAGAAATGTTGGTTTTAGACAGATATAAAAACATGCCAACATCCATCCAATGTTAAATTTGCTGTAAAATAAGTCTACTGAAGCTATGTGGGATCAAATGATTGTGGCACAGATTCAAACATTCCTGGACAGCCTCTGCTACCCAACTCACCGCCTGGAGCTCACGCTCCTCAAAGATCCTCGAGAGGATGAGGCGGCGCAGCGGCACCGTCATGATGAGGACGAAGGGGAACGCCAGGGAGGCCACAGTAGACTTCACTACCCACAGAGCCACAATGCACGCCAGCTGAATGATGGTGAACATGTTCATTCGCCATGTCTTCACCTGAAGCAACACACACGGTGGTTAATGGGTAGAAAACCAAAAGACCATGGACCACAGCGCAGACACACAGGCGTGCACACAGAGATACTCAAAGACACATTCAACACACTCATTCCCGAACTGCTCCTCTGCGTAATGAAAATTTTACATGTTTTTGGCTCCATCTAGTGGTAAAATCCTGCATCTAATCATTTCTGTAAATGTGAAAAGGGAGATTAAATGAATCTCTTTTTTTCAAGGAATAAACTTAAAATCTTCATCCAGTTATTTTAAACTTTAAATCCACAAGATAAAACCACTGATACTGGCTTGTAAAACATAAGGTGATTTTGACAGACTGAAAACAGCCTGTGTGGGGGCATATTGTTACTGGTTTGTGCAACAGATCCATGAGTTTGAGGGCTGATCAGATGCCAAAACACAGCACAGTTGTTTATAATATTTACTATGAGACAGGATCAACTCTGGAAAGCTGAAACGTTGACAATGAGCTTGTCTTTTGTCACTACGATCGTGAGGTAAACAGTAGAAATATGGCATTCACTTTATAAAGTCATCTACCAGGAACGTGACACTTGCATGTATTTGATTGGCCAATGCCCCCCACCCCCCAAGTGAACCAGCGCAGCTCATACAAATAAATGAGGAGGCAATGCTTTTGTCTGTCTGAACCAAAGTCTGATTATGGCTTCTATTGTACCACAAGCTCTGTAGGGGTCAGCAGCCATTCACAGCACTTGTTTTTGAAAAGTGCAATATATTGTTATTAATTATTATTGTTTTTATTATTATTATTACCACCATTATCATATTGTTGTTAACTGTTGTATCTTGTTTATATTATATTAAACCCACTCTTCAAAATCTGTTTTTCATGTCTCTCTCTCTTTTTTTTTTTTTTACACCTAACTGCATCTTAATTTTACCCTCCTCCCACCACATATCTGTGTTTACATACCCACTAGTATCCTGATTCTGATTTTGATAATGATTTCTGAGGTATCTTGGTAATTGGTTGTTCATGGTAACACAATATCCTGGTTTCAGAAAGAAGCCTCTGTTGCAGTTGTGAGAAACACAAACATGCTAGCTGGAGTTCTCCAATGCACACAGGCATTCCAAAGAAACCAAACAGCTCATCCAGTATTTCTGTCTATTCTCTCAACTCAAGTTAGATAGCAGTTAGACAGTAAAACAATAATAAAATGACAAACATGATGATGTAATGAGGATTTCCAGATTGAAATTAAAGTCTGACACCAGTAATACAGGATAGTGCAATTGCAGTGACCAGGCAGCCCGAAACTAAACTGTTACTTATCTTCAACTGTAACACTTAATCACAAATGTCTCTGTTGGTGCAGAAATGACACATTTGCTGGATGTGGTGGAGACTTGCTGAGGAAAACCTGGATAATGTTCATGTGTCATGTATGAAGGGATCTGAATGATCAGGATACTCAAAACCAGAACACTGGTGTGCATGTAAACGTTATGTTGTCGAGTCGGCCATTTTTCAGGTGTCTGTTATATCCTGCTCTGTTATGACTTTGACTCCTCAACACTCCAGCCACTCTGTTATTCCTGCACTGACTGAGTTAACTCAGACTTCAAGATGAACCCCCTTTGGTTTCTGGCAGCCTGGACTTCGCTGCAGTGACCACTCTGCTGGGTTTGGCTTCTCCCACCTCACCACTAATAACACAAGACGAGGGCATGTAAACATTCAGCGTTGCTTGTGTTACCTTGGTGACGTAGATGTGGTCAGGGTGATGCTTGGCAGGCGTGACCATGAGTGTGATGCGTTCATACAGCTGGATGCCCGTCAGAGACGTGACCCCCATGTACAGGAAGATACCAAAGAGCACGGCCAGAGGGATGAGGCGGAGCACATCTGTCATCACCATAGACATACCTGATGGGTGGAGAGGGGTTAAAGGTCAGGTTTTCACATGATATTACTGTTGTTGAAACACTCACATGCACACTAATGTGCAGCTGTGGAGAGAATTATTCATTCAACAAGGGAACAGCCTTCATGACAAACACACTGTCAGTGCTGTTTATTTGAAACATACTCACTGTTCAGATGCCTTGGTTGGGCTAATCCAAGAGTCTTATTCCTAATCCAAACAGCATTTCAATCAAACAAAAGCTCAACAATCATCATGACTCACTGAGGTTGTATACCCAAACTGGATCAAACTATACTTAAGACGACTTTGGGAACCCTACCTTAACTGAAACAAGATATTCTGCTGGAAAAGTAGAACTAGTCAGTGGATGAAAACAATGTTGCCATGACACTGCATTTTGAATTTAACAGAAATTATGGTTTCAGACGGTTTGTAAACAGCATGTAAAATCATTTTAAGATGTTGCATGGGCTTATTCCTACTTCATGAATGTCTAGACATGCAGGAGCTGCAGAGGTGCCACTCTGTACCTACTGTCTATCATAACAATCACTTGCCTGGAAACCCCACCACTGTAATTAATGCTGTAGAAAAATATAATCCCTGTAGCCTCAAAACGAATGAGAGTAATTGTTGTGGAAATAGTTGAGATTCTTCTTTCTCTACAGCTTGTTTCAGATGTGTTATTTCTGTTTTTGCACTGATGTGATTTATATAATGTTAATTCTAATGAGAAAACGGCTTTTAAGACACGTTTTGTAGAATCTTCATTAATTCAACAAGTCAGATAAAAAAAAAATTAAAAAGATAAAACAAAGATTAATTATGGTACTCAGAAGGAGCATTACACCAACCAGTAAGCCACAATCCCCTTGGTTATTGCTGCTTTGCCCGTCAAGCTTTTCATTTTCATCTTTATTTAATCTTTATTTAATCAGGCAGACTCATTGAGATTGAAATCTATTTTTCAAGAGAGGCCTGAGAACAAGAAGCAGTCACAAAAACACCATCAAGAGCAAAGACAACACAACTACACAACTACACAATACAAGACACTAAGAAACAAAGAATTAAGAAAAACATTTACAATAGTCCAAAAATGACTTTGGCTGAAAACTACTGTCACTGGCAGAGTTTTTTTTAAAGCTGTAGCTAGCAAAAGCTAATGCTAAAACTTTGCTTGTTGGCTCAGATCTGTCTCCTGCTGACTTTTTAATGTTCACAGTTGATTTGATTGAAATAAGAACCATAAGGGTCCTAAGGTAGGGTGAAGTTTAAAGATTGACACTAAAACTAAAACCTTGGATGCTAACAACAGAAAAACATACTTTGACAGGCAACACAGTTGTAAGATTTAGTTAGGATGAGGACGGGTTTAGCAAATGTAATGTTAACATAATTTTGATTTTAATTCTGGAGTTAGTGGCATGTTATTTTCCCCAAACCCAGTAAAGAGCAGTCCTTCCAATCCTCCCTTTTCCCTCTTACCGACGAGCACAGCCACAAGAAGCCCGGTCAGCCTCTGCTCTTTCACCTCCTGGATCATGGGCTTTTCACCAGGTGCCGTGGCCTTGCTCATGACTGTGAGTGCGTTGACATGGGTGACAGAGCGCACCGTGGCCGCGGTGAGCCACGGCAGGCCGAAAAGGGGACAGATGGCACCCAGGATGACGATGAGCAGTAGATCCAGGTGGAAACCTGATCCTTTAACCAGGCGACGCTCCTTCTTACTGACTATCAATCTGAGAGAGGAATGACGAGAAAATGTTTAAAAGGTAGAAATTTCGTAAAGGTTACAGTTAGTATACATTACTTTTCTACACAAAAATTCTACAGAGTAATAATCATAGTCTACATACGAAGTGATCTGAGTTTCCATGAAGATGAGGATGAAGACAAGAAGCGCAGGTACGATACTTGCTCCCATCATCCAGGTTGGAAAGGGCTGCTTATCCCCAAAGGGACTGATGAACCAACCTCTCTTGTCTGGGGATGTGACAGAAAAGCCCGACGGCACATCAAGTTTCTGAAAGCAGATAAGAAAAAGGCACTGAATTATTAGAACTGTAATAAAATGAAATTCGAAATGCTGCTGTGACTCAAGAGACTGACAGTGTATTTACCTGTGTGTAAGTGTCAGTAACAGAGTAATCCACAAACACTGAAACCAGAATTGAGATGGGGATGCCAAAATCACCAATAATTCTTCTGGCCTGAGGAACCAAACATAAATTAAATCAAGTCAATGATCAGCACACGTCAGATCACAAGCCAGTGGTTGACTACAAACAAGCCAAAGAAAGTCTTCATGTTCAGTTTAAAGAGAAACACCCACTGACGGATGAATCAATATTATTGATTTAAACTGTGTTGAACAAAATCTTCTATTTCTTCTATGAAAAAAATGTGAATTACATTATCGATGTGTCCACTTTTCCTCTACATAACAACATCCACAATTTACTATTACCCTGGCATTCACAGTTTAAGTTAAAGGTTCTTAAAACTTTACCTTGCCACCTAAGAATCGACTGTTTCTGAACTTCCTGAGGAAGAAAGCAACAAAGAAAGTGCCCATCATAAGAACCAGAGAGAGAAGAGCAGTGTTGGGCTGGTTGTAGATGGGGTCAATCTCATCTTGAAGCCCAGTAGCTGGGCTGAAGTCACTGGGGTACATTGCCATCAGTGGATGTTCCTTAAACACCTGGAGACGAGAGACGAGAGATTTAATTTATTCTCCACTGACTGACTGGAAGCGCGTTTTGCAGATAGCAGAAAGAAAGGATTAAATCTGAGTCTTGAATGTTGTAACTTCATTTAGAAACACTGTTCATGCAACATGCATCATGCATGCGTAACAAGACTAGGTGAAAACCTAGTACATGGCTAGACTGCGTTGTATTTTCATTCTGCCTAGTGTCAGTCGGTTTCAGCCCTTTATCTGTTTACTTCTTTCTTACTCTGTACTCACATTTAGAGTATTTAAATGCAGCAGAATTCACAATAAAGCTGTTCTCATTTCTATGTTTTTCTGTTTCTGTTGTCAGACAACGGAACAAGCATGAAACAGTGACTAAGACATGGCCCATTAAGACTACATGTTAACCAGCAGTCACTTCTAAGCCATTTCCAAGCTTCTGCTCTGCTGCTGCTAAAATCCTGATTATATAACCACGACATCATCTGACAAAATAACCAAACACATAAGTTAAAGACAAAGACTGTGGTGTGATTTTGACTATATTTACTTGTGAAAAGGTCACTTAGATAGAAAGTTAGACGGAAAGTTAGAAGCTCAATCACATTGAAAAGTCTGGGAATCTAGCAACAAAGGCATTAAGTTTGGCAACACTGTTTCTTTTTCTCCTTCTTCTTTGGGGCTTTTACGGCAGTTGGCATCCATCATGTTGCATTACTGCCTCCTTCCAACTTTAATCCTGGTCTCCACTGATCCTAGTTTCTGTACCTGTTATGACTGTCTTTCTCTCTTCATATTTCCTGCTTAAAATCAGGACAGCAAGACTACTTGAAAGAGCAACGACCAGTGATGAAACTCTCAACAACAGTCAGCTGGCTGACAAATGGTGTAACTCCATCATTCACTCAGTCAGTCAGTCACAGACATTCACGTTTACAAGGCTGGCCTCACAAAAAATATGTTATACTGTCCAAATTCTTCTGGAGCTCAGCGAGTTGTGTTATATGTGAAGCAGTTACCTTGATGAGCTTTGAGAAAGTCTCGTAGATGAAGATGAGGGAGATGAGGAAAGCAAAAATCTCCTGGGTAAAGGGTGAGATGTAGCGGACGAGGAAGCTGCCCTCTGCTGCAACAATCACCAGGACAATGAAGATGAGCCAAAACCCGATCCATACCCGACCAGTCAGGTACTCAAAGTCGTGAGCCTGACAGAACTGAGTGAAAAGACATTGACATTAGTCACATGTTCAGGGAAAACAAAACTGGAAATCTGCAGTGTGTGATAAACTGAGTGTGTACTAAAATGCATTCATTACATGTCTGTGTCGCAAAGGTCAAGTACCTTGTAGAAGGCTTCTTCAAACACCAGTAAGGGTCCTGAGAAGCCAATGATGAGAAGCGGCTGACCAGCAAGCAGCGAGAATATAACTCCAAGAGTTGCAGTTGAAACGATAAGCTCAGTCACTCCCATCATGCCCTCTGTTTTCTCTCCTGTATGCATAAAAACATCTTAATAACATAATTATCAAAATGACATGGGATCAAATTTTGCTCATGCAGTTTATAGCTTCAGTTTACCCAGCAGGCCTCCGAAGGTTATAGTGGGCGACAGTGCTGCAAAGTAGATGAAGATGACGGCAGCGACGCACTGCATGTCCACGGCATCTTTTAAGTCACTGACATAGTGTGGATAGCGGCGGCGGATATCGTGGATCAGGCCTCCGAATGGGATCCCTGAGCGCTTTAACGGGTCCACCTCCTGGTCTCCCTCCTCCTCCTCCTCTGGACTCACCTCTAGGGGGTTTGAGACAGCCTCCATTACATAAAGAAACTACCATTCATCACAATAATAATAATAATAACGCTAAAACGATAAAAGTCAACAGTTAACATTAAAAGACACAATCTGTAACGCCATTAAAATCTAAAAAGGAAGACTACACCTCACTATCACAGGCAAAGAGAAACACTTGCAACTTTCTATATTTTCAGCAAAACTAACTAACAAGGATTATATGTATTTAAGGCCTCATATGTCCTATTCCTCATCAATCATACACAGTCCTTCTACCTTAAAAGGATAGTTCAGATTATTTGACGTGGGGTTGTGAGAGGTGCTTATCTATAGTCAGTGCAGTAGATTCAGATCAGTGTGCTAACAAGTTTAGAGAGGCAGCCGGGAGAACATGCACGTCCACAGCAGCACATCACTCAGTGTCTGTGCTGGTGCTCCTGCTGTTTCTCTAAACTGAGAGCACACTGATCCAAATCTACTCCAGGTTATACTTTAACTATATTCTACTATACTGACTATGGATAAGCACCTCACACAGCTCCACGTCAAACAACCTCAATTATCACTTTAAATTCTCCCAAGAACACCAAATGTGTATTAATTCACAGCTGAAAATATGTGTAAGACCAAGAAAAGGACCACACATTCTCACATTAGAGAACCAAAAAAATTGATTGATTCACAACAATTATCAAAAATAGTAGGCAGTTAATTCTGTTTTGATTGACTAATCGATTAACTTAATAATAATTGAAGCTCTAACTGATTCATTCCTTCTCGCACCAGTGCTTTGTTTACTGATGGTATCATGTCATTTGTAAAACTACTAAAAGGTACAATAGCACTGATTTTGCAAAATGATTTCTAGCTGAAGAAACTTGTGTTTGCATTGCAGAAATAATGTTGGAAGTCCCTCCCTCAAACTGTAATTGCACATGTGGTTTGGAAAAGCCTCTTTACAGACTTGACTAAGCACCTTTGTTGTCCTGCACCAATCCAAAGGAGGAGTGGTGCTTTTTGAGCTCTCTTTCCTTCCTCTTGCGCAGCATCTGCTTCTGGAAGTCAGCCACCGTCTTCAGGAGGTCTTTGCCCGCCACATCTGAGGGTGGAATGACGATGCTGCAGTCTAAGAACTCATTGATACCGTTCAGGAGGTCCTGTCTGTCGTCAGCAAAGTAGGCCACCTCGTGGAAGTTCTACAACAAAATACAACTGGATGTCAGCAGCAGAAAGAAGAGAAATTCAAGATACATGTGACGTTGTCACTATTGCACATTCCCCCATTTATAATGCACATTGTACATATTTATTTGTTTCTTATTATGTTTTTCAAATTTTTATTGTAAATATTTGAGAAAAATGTTCTATTTATATTCAGGCTATCTGGCTTGCTGTACTTGCTTTTGCAATATCTTTATACATTTTCTTCTTACTATGTTTATTGTTATGCAGCAAAACACCAAAGCAAATTCCTTGTATGTGAAAACAAACTTTTTTTTCTACAGATTTAGATACACTATTGAGTTTCGGCTTGACAACATAAAAATATCAGTGATTATTTTATTTTTTAATCAATGGTAAAATATCCAAATATCTATCACTTAGTTACTCTGATGGGGATAATTAGTATCCCATTTGCATTTATAGGAATCTGAAATGAGGAAAATGTTGCACATACCTTGTCGGACATGAGAGTGGCGAAGGAACGTCCAATCTCATGATAGTCAATGTTGGACTGACTGGGACCGAGTAGGACGAAAAGAAAGCGAACAGGGACCGGGACCTCCAGCACCGACTCCAGAAGCACGGCATCGTTCAGCCTGACAAAGGCCATGGCTGGCTGCTCCAGAAACTCCACACAGCCTGACAGGAAAAGAAATAGTAAAATAATAATTAGTGATTTTTCCACAGCTCCACATTAGGAGCAGAATCTGTGATTGCACCTTGACTATTGGCCTGTTGTGATATAATAAACACCAGGATTAAATAGTGCTGTAGTGATAATTTGCTGTTAATGTCACATCAAGACGTCCAGCAGCTTTACAGTTCAGCAGCTGCAGAAGTGTTGACTTCACATTAACAGCAGTGTTAAACTGTAGCAAAGGTGAAAGCTGATCAGAATACAAAGAAGTAGGATGCCGTTAGCAGTGAATATGAAACAATAATGGTGATTATTGATGTAATTTAACTTTTTGAGGCCGAAACTAATGGAGAATCTACAACAAGCAGATTCATCTCTTAGCATTTATAAAAAAAAAAAAAAAAAAAACATAATTTCTGTAACTAATCTACTTTGTCAAAACTCCCAGAGCTTACCAACTAAAACGATGACAGCTTCAGCATCTTTGGGAATCTTGGCGAGCAGTTTCATGGACCTCGCCGCAGCTGGATGGCTCTCAGGAGGCAGAGGGTGGAGAGATTTCTTGGAGGAAGACCAGTAAAAAGATTATTCACATTACTGCTCCGACCAACGTGATGTGACACCATAATGTAACATGGGACCAATAATGTGGGAATTATTGTGGGGATAGCAACATGTATGAACAATACTTTACTAATGCAATTCATTTTGAACTACACAACTGCACAACTGGTTCTTTATGTCTGAGGAGAATTTTTTTGATAGGCTGCTTTAAATTTGCCAACATTTTAAGCCACGGGGAACATTAAGGTTTCACAGTTAATGCATCAAGAAGCATTAACTGGAAACACCTGTAAGCTGACTAAAAACATAATTCAACACATGTGGCCCAGGGAGGCTCGCTCTCTCCAACTTCAAGAACTACCTACGCGACTTCTGACCTCATGGAGGGGTGTTTCAAAGAACAATGCAAGAGCCACAGGCCTCACATCAGGACTTTAGTGTAATCATGTTTAAATCTATGCTTACTGCTGACTCTTAGAACTTAATGCAAACCATAAACTAGAACAAGACAGCTCACTGCTGCTTTTATCTCCATCCATTTAGATAGCTGAGTTCAATTATCCAAGTGGGTTCTTGTCAAAACTAGTTAATCACCTACTTTGGCTTGGGTAAATTGTATTCACTGCGCTGTCAGCCTGCAGTGTTTCAACTACATCTCAGTCTATCATCACCCATATCTCATACCTCTCAGATCTCTGTCACCTCCCTCTGAGATTGACACAAAGCACTCAAGACTAAGGAATAACAACTTACAAACAGGCTGACAAACACGTCTTGTTTGGGGTCGTACACCGGCCCTTTGTTATCCTGGTGTTCATCATGCTCTTCAGCCACCAGCGGCAGACTGGTGTCATGGACGTGGTTGTGATTGAAGCTGCTGTGAAGACTGCTGGATGAGTGGTGGCGGTGGAAACGATGTTTTAAATCACTTGGATGACTGTGAAAAAAGAATTAAAAAAAAAGAGTAAGTCAACAAACAACTTTTTAAGGATGTGGACTCATCTGTTATTTGTGCCAAATGCCATGCCAATGTCAGCATGCTAATAAGCTCAAAGCGATAATGTTAAGAAGTTCATGTTTTTATTTTTGTTATTAGAATATTTTGCAATTAGCACTAGGTACAAAAGTAGGTTGATGGCAATGTCATTAGTTTAACAGTTTATGAACCAAAGTAGCAGAAGGACAAATTAAACCTTTTACATTATGATGGCTCAAGATTAAAGGTCCCATATTGTATAAAGGTAGATTTCCATGTCTGTTGATCATAAAGCAGGTCTAGCTTCTATATTAATACTGTAAAAGTATCAAAGTTCTCAGTCCACAGAGTAATGCACACAGCCTGTATTCAGAAACTGAGTCTTAAAAAGAGCTGTTAGGACTTCTGTAACTTTGTGATGTCATAATGAAATAGTCGCCACTCTCAGCCTCGCCCAAAGCCCTAAGACCCACTATCCAACCTTTGTTTTTTTTTTTTTTTTTTTTACTTTATGAACGACACAACACAGAGCCGCCATTCTGACAATGAGCTAGCAACTATGAGACAGAAAGATATGGAGGAAACGCTGCACAATCAGACACAAACACCCTCAGACACAAACACCCTGAGAGGCCTGAGAGAGGAGATGTAAAACTACATTGACATGGTTTTTAGTACTAAAAACCACAAATGTCTTCTTGTGAAAATCACAAATTCAAATAAAACATTGGGAAAGTGTGAAATATGGGACATTTAAAAGGTATGGGATTACAGTTCCTCCTGACAAGGACATGAATGTTTGCAACAAATTTTAGCATCCAGTAATTTTCCAAACCTTTAACTTTGAGCCTATGTCAGCACAGATAAAATGACTCAAAATCAGCCAGACTTTAGCTTCAACCAATCAAAGCAAAACGCAATGACGGGCTGATGCTTCTGCAACAATATTACTTTACTTCACTGATATATCAATACAGACTGTCTATGTCTGTATAGTAGAATATAAGTCTTTATAACTTAGTATACTGACTAACTTTTTTCTGAGCTTTCAACCACAACCCACAGAACAACTCTCAGGCTTCATCTGTGAATGGCTTATGTTTTTCATCAAAAATATCAGAAACTGGAGGAATAGCCACCTGTTCCCTCTCCAGCTTGAGGATGATGATAATTGTGATTATAATATAATGATACTGGCGCTGTTTCACAAAAATGAATAATTCAGTACTTGAAAGAACTGCTGGGTAATTTGGATTGTAGAAAAGCCCAGCACAGCTGTGACTCTTGTTCACATAATCCACCTTCTTCAGTCGACATGTTGAGGAGCTTTACTTCATGCAGCAGCAATGCAGCTCATAAATTTACAAAAGTCATTAGCAAAATTCCTCAAAATCTAAACCTTTTCAGGTCAAGCTAATTAGAAAGCTGTTATAAGACAATCTGAGTTGACACAGTGTCTCTTCCAAATGTGATATTTTCAATAAATCATCAATAAAACAGCCAGAGGCTAATCTGTGCAGCATTACTATCAGCGCTTTAGTGCATGTCAGGGTAATCACGCTTTCTCCCTTCTCAAGTATTTGGTGTGTCACAGAATCCAAGTTTCATTACATCACTGCACAGTCCACTGGTGACATCACCTCGCTCATTAGGCCCACAAGGTCCAATAAGACGGCGCCCAGATTGGACGCGACATCACAACACGACAAAAGAACGAGGTGTGACACTGAAGGGAATTGTGCTCGAGATGTTTCCAGAGGATCTTTAAACTGGTCTGAGTAAGCGATGAACTAAATTTTAGCAGCACCTCAGTGTGTTTCTTTCCACTTACTAAATCTGATATCTCAGACTGGTGATGACTCTAATGACTGACTGTTTTTTTTCCCCTGTGGATGCAGCCAGTGAAAAGCTGGGAATTTATGTGGAAAGGCTGTGAAAGATGGAATGGACACACAATGGCCTGCTGCTCAGAAGCTGAACAGTTTATATTGTGTCATCTGTTGTCTCGCTTTGTGAGTATTTATACAAAATCCATCTTGTTACATGAGGTTTTAGTGAAACAGCAAATCTGGTCACCACCATATTAGTAATACTGAATTACAGCACTGTCCACGTAGTATTACACAGGTGAGCCAGACAGACAATGCTGGACCAGTGGCTCTATACAGACACCAAAAGGATGAAGATGAATTTCTTGGAAAATAAAACTAAAACAGGAGTAAGTGAAAGTTTATTTTTTGACCTTGAAAACAGTAGTTGACAAAAAAAAAAATCTCACTCCAGGTCTATTTAGTGGCTGTTCTGGAGCTTTCAATCTTATTGCACAATAAAAGCTAAAGTTAGAATATGTAACTTTTCCAAATTCAATTTTTTTTGCGTTTTGTTCTTATTATTATGCAAATGTTTCAGGCAATTTTCAAACTTTGAGAAATACATGATGTTAATCATGGTAACGGTACGTGACATTTGGTCACCTGTCAATGACAGACCTATGTGAACATGTCCATGTTATGGCTGTCTGCCAGAGGTAGTCAAACTGACTTTTATCCAGTTTTAAAAAACACTTTTTAGATGTTGGTTGTTAGGATTTTAGTCATCGGATGTCTGGATCTAAAGTTATCAGAGAAAAAAGCTGACCTAATGTTAGACAGCTCAGCTGCTGGAGATGTCCTGTGTCTGCTGAACTGCATCAGTGAATCTGTGAATCACGGAGTGAAACTTCTTTATTTGGTGTTTGTACCGGTCTTAATCCCCTGGTCTGTTTGTTATGGAGAAGAGGACACCTCTGTGGATAATTCAGCTGCTGGTAAAAACCTCATGAACATCAGCTTTGTAAGTTATCAGAGAAACAACCAAAAGAAAGGATAACAGCAATCTCAGCTTCCAACTCTTCCCCAACGTCTCGTCTCTCGTCGTCTTCCTGAACCACTGACAATGAAGGAACCAAACCAGGAGAAGGTGGTGAAGACAACAACTCCCACGATCCCACACTATTTCATGACATCACCCAACACTGTCTTTTGTCATAGTTTTGATTGAGAGCCCTAGTGGCAGAAGTTGTAGTACTGTGTGTTTAAGAACTTTTAGTAGCTCACATGGATGAGACCTCATTAAGGTCCTCAGAAAAATGGAAATCTGAACATATGCAATTCCATGAAAACTGGACAAACTCCACCTGCTGAGGAAGTGCAATCAAAAGCTACTATAAAGAAGGAAGCTCATCTCTGGAGCTACACCATTAGCCTGGTTATACCTAACATTTTAAATGATCCCTGAAGTGAAACAAAATATTGACAGGAGAATGAGTGAGCATGATTCATTTTATTTTTGACAGGCATGGCTTGTCTCTCTGGTAATTCAGTCTGACAGCCGACATTTAGTTAACTTGTTTTTTTCATTATGTAACTCTGAAAAATCCATTCTGCTCTATGAGTAGTGCTGTTCCATTGGTCATGTGTTAGGTCAGTTTAGCTTGTGTGTCAATACAAGTGCCAATCAATAAGTGGGAACCATCTCAGAGAGCCGGAAACATCGAGGAGATGACATGTCACATGTTTAACATCCATATGCTATTTATTTGAAGTACTGCATATATATCAGTACACAGGATATGATGTAACTATTTCCTTGGTCTTTTTTCAGCACTTATATAGGATCAGTTGAGAGGATTCGTGTCTCTGAGGTTGTGGTGTCCCCTGGTCTATCCCCTCTCCAAGTCTAGTCACATTTACTTCCTCATCCGCTGATTTAACACCCAAAAATATTTCCAAGTACTGCATAAACCTCGGTTAACTGGGCCGGCTGGGAAGAACCTGCTCATGTAAAACACACAGAGCACCAAAAACTCCCTGTTGATAAGAGGTAAACGTCGCCTATCATCTCACATCCTGAATTTTACTTCTGTCTCCTTTCAACCCAAAATCTTAGACATGTAATGAGCCTGGATTTATAAAAAGTAGCAATATTTAAAAGAAATTCTGATTTCAAGCCTGAAAGTTCATATATATTTTATGCAGGGCCTCAAACAGTGTCTGTTTCATTCTCAGTAATCAAAGATCAGACTGAAACACCCACTCGTTAGTGTATAAGGTCTGAAGGAGAGCAGGACTGAGAGGGCACAGATTTCAAATGGTCAGGACAGCGCAGCGTCAAACTTTAAATCTGAAGGTCTGGGCTTTAAGACCCTGGGCAGCTAGGCTACTGTCTTGACATTTGTAATTTAGACAGCCCTGGGGAAGTACACCAGATGATGAGCCAAGTCTTGTTAAATGTCACTTTTTGGAAATTCCCAGCTCTGTTCCCCTGAGTTTGGCTTTTTTTTTAACAACCTCCACAACAGAATAATGATTAATGAGGAGTGTGCTGGGGTTTGATTCCTCATGCTGCCATGCTCACAATCCATGAACAACATGTAAACACAGCTGCATCCACACTGCCATACACTGACAGGTCTGTTAATATATGGATTAAAAAGAACAACTAAATCTATGATAACAATATTTTCAGGACCTTTTCACACGAAGCAGGAGACAGGTAACTGGGATTAATCCTGGCTTTTTGGTCTCACAGAGATGGTTGGTGTTGCCATGGTAACTAACACTACAACCGTATGCTTAGGCTTAAAAATAAAAACTCTAAAATGTACATCCTAATCAGCCAACTGTGATTCCGCATTGTACTTCAGTATTAAAACTTCATGTGATGAGTGACATGTTTACAATCTAGTAGCAAGACTTTCTTTTATTTCATATGAATAAATTAATTTGTATTAAACTGAATTAATATTATAAGAATTAAAATGTATCTACGATAAAACAGGATTTTTAGCAAACAGAACAGAAAGCCTGTTACTTGTATTACCATTTAATAAAATGTAATTCTGCTTATTAATTGTGCTAAAATTCTTTCACAGAGCTCCAGACAGTGATTGGCTCAGTTTAAACTCTTAAAGACACTCGTATTATTGCTGCCCCAGAAAACATTTTGGTCTCATACAGTAAATCTGCAATCTGCAAATCGGTTTATTGATTCATATGTGTGGAGTAGAATGTATGTAGTTTGTGCTAGGCTTGGGCCAATATTTAATAATATCGAATATCGTGATATTTCCCACCTTATGCAATCTTTTTCATTATGTCAATTTTTTTTCATTTCCTTTTGTGAAGTCTTACAGTTTTACACAATCTGCATTGCTGCTGAGTCTGACCCTCATTTCACTGCTTTGCTGACAAATAAAACAATGAACTTCTGTTTAGTGGCAACGTCAAATACAATGACGTAATGATATTATTTTAAAAAAAATTCACTCCCCATCCCCTGCAATAATATCGTATATCCCAATGTTTGAGATGGACTGTATCGAGGTATTACATTTTTGGACCTCACCTAAGCCTCATTAAATTTAATTCATTTGATAAGACGGCAGGTTATGTAAAAGATTTGGTTACAGTTGTAATGGTGTAAATCAAGAGTAAAAGGGGCCTGTTTTAAATTAGGACCTTCTTAAAAGTGCACAAAATGGAGTTTTCCACCTGTTCCTACGAGCTTAGTTGGCCAAAAATATTTTAGATTTGGCTTTTAAATCCTGTAATGTCTCCTGGGGTGCCACAACAAATATGTTCGCTTTGAGGAAAGAACTTCACTAAATACTTCAGTTAGTCTCAGACTGGTTACTGACCTGTGTTTGAGAAGCAGAGCCCGCAGAACACTGGATCTGTCCTCGGCTCTGATCTGATCAGAGATGATCATCGTCTCCACCACCAGATGAGCGATGCCAGGCAGAGAATTCTGCTCCAGGTCCAGAAGGATAGCACCTAGGGAAGGAAGGTACAGGAAGACAAGGGCTGAAAATGGCTGCTGAGACTGTTTTGTATAAAAAGTATTTCAGATTCCTGGGGGGAGAATCTAATCAGGACAAAAATGTTCAAGTCCTCATATTTGTATTTGAGAAACTTTAGCCAAAAATACACTTCTGTCAAACTAGATTTGTCCAGCAAAGATGAGTTTCGCTTCTTTTTGCATGTCATGTTTATCCTTGTGGATTTTATATCAGCTGCACATGGAAATAAGTAAACCATAAGACTGATACTGTGAGCATGTGTACTGCTGTTTGCACGCAGGAGCTTTTTACCGTGTGTGATGGTGCGACGAAGCTCCAGCAAGCTGCGGAAGGAGAGTGAGGCCACGTGAGGTTTGCCCCAGCGATCCGTCTCCTCCTCCACATCCTCTTCAAACTTGATCCAGCGAGCGCGTTCCTTCCAACGCATCTCATGATCCTTCTCCACGATCAGCTCGTTCAGCTCCACAAACAACTGGAGGTGGAGCAGGGCACAAAAATATATGGCTTTAAATTTCATATGTAGTAGTCAAAGATTATGTTTACCCTCATCTAAGTATTTGTTAACATCCCCCAGTTCTTTCAATGGAGCTTGTTTTCCCTTTTCTCTTTCTTTTTTTTCTCCAAACTGAATATATTATACCTATAGGAGAAAATAATGATAATAATCAGTGACAGCTAATCCAATCCAAACCAACACGTTTATGAGGCCTGACGTAAGATAACAACATGGTTTGGAGGGACATTCTGTTACATTTCAACAAAGAAGTTTTCTCAGAGCAACACAAAATGATAATATGATTTGTGTTTTTGTGCCATTTGTGCAGTCAAACTGAGGTGAAACATTAGTAGGAATTTTATAGCTTCTTCTGGTCTGGTGACTCGCCATTAAGTCACTGAAGAGGAATGTGGTTAAGCTCAGACTTCACTCCAAGAGCTCTGGAGATTACGTTTAACACTGAATCAAATGACTACTGTATGTGTAATGTGAGGGGGGTCATTTGTAGTGAAAAACAGGTAAAATTATCACCCAACCTTACGTTTCCTATGAGGAAGTGCTTTAGCCAATATCAGCTCATTGTTTTGGTTTTACAAGTCACAGCTTTACTGTGCTTTTTGGTTCAATCTCTCCGCTCTTGTCAACCTTGTTTCCAGCAGCAGTAGGGAGAGCAAAGACCATCAATAAACCCACTGTTTGGTATATACCTAGCACCAGATAGCTGACAGACATAGCAGCAAGCTGGTAGCAGCTACAAAACTAGACTGTTCCCCTCAGGAGCTGGTGAAGACCAAACCAGAGCTACAAGGAGAGTAAATATTGGACTTAAATCTGTTGTGGCCAGAGACATGACTCAAATGAATGTTAAAGGGCTATTTTCAAGTTTTCTCCTCCACTGAATGCAGGTGGTGGTGATTGTCACTTGACAAGAGCTTCCGCTGTCGTTGCCTTCATATTACAATTCATTATAATTCATTATAATACTCTCTCTGAGCAGCGCTACGTCTTCAGGACAGATTGGAGGCTACAGTGAGTCGCTATCTGAAATTGGTTAGATGGGCCGGAGCTAGCTGGTTAGCATGCTAACTTCAGTAGAAGAAAAGACGTCATAGAGACACTGGGGTTGCTTTCCACTGCTGGAGACAGCTCTTGATGAGCAAAGAGCTGTTTCTTCTAGACTGGTAAGTAAACAGCTGTTAATGCTAACGTTGGCTAGGTAGCAATATAATGGTTTGCTATCGCATTCATCATAATGATACTGTAATATTATGTATTTAACAAAGGAAACTAGTGTAAATTGTATGTTGCCTGCATATTGATGTATTCATCCTGTGGTCAATATGCAGATTAATGCAGTTGAAGGAAAAAGCATTGTGCTGCAAACCTCATGAATTTTTTTTTCTGCTGCTCTCTTCTTCTTCTTCAGGCTGGATAGTGGTGTGGAGCTGTTGCTGGACCGGGCCATTTGACATCGGGACGACTTCTTCACCAAGTGGCGTCTCACCCCGGGGTTGTCCTCAAATCTGTGACCTGCACAACAGAAGGGTCAACATTGCTAAGTGATGATGTCTACATCTGAGGAGGCCAGTTTGATGAGTCATTCAGAAACCAACCTACCGAGGAGCATTTTAAAAGCAGTATTATGAAACGCTCTTTTATGATTGTGAACAAATCAAACATCCTTTCCAAGTCAGAAAATGTGCTTCAGAAATCATATTTATATGTGCGTTTAGGTTTCCAGCTGACAGAAGAACAACCAGTAACAGAGGGCAAAAGCTTCATGGGTGAGTGAGAATCCATGTGCGCCATGGGAAACTGTTAGAGAGGAGGTGGTTTCACCCCCACACATTTGTCACTTCAAAAAGAGTAATTTCATTTTCAATTTCCTTGACCTCCAAATCATATTTTATTGAATTGAACATAATGAGCGGCTCCTTTAATGTTTATGATTTGCCATGTAAATGGGAGGGAAGCCTGGGTGGTCCGTTAATTTGATTAAAGGAAGTAGGAAATGCAAAGTAAAAGGATGACCACCTGTGTGGAAATGTGTTTAGAGAGTGGTAAAGAATGATTTTAGGTAATGACTATAATTTGGCAAAATTATAACTAATGTGTTATTTTAAGGTTCAGTGTTTATTTTTATACAGAAATGGTCAAATGTAGGTATTAAGTGACTTTTAAGTATAATTTAAGAAATACATTTGAGATTGTTAAAGGAAACAGTTTGACATTTTCAACTACAAATCATTCATTACTATCAACTGTTTTCCAAAGCATACCAGTTGTGTTTTACTTGAGTCTGAAAATCAACTTGCAAGGGCTACACATGCATGATCCAATGCAATAAATATTTTATCGGATGCTCATGCACAAGGGGACTACTTTGAAATCTCTCCCTTCTGATCAATATGCGAGAGTAGAAGTGTTGGCAGAACATGACTTGTCGTTATTACACTGTAACGTGCAAAATCACTTGCACACATAGTTAAGTTATGGGATGGCGTTGGTGTATTTAAGGTCAAGGAAAAGATCTGGGGGACAGTTTAGAAACTGACATTTGCATTCAGTGCAGAGCTGCAACAGTCAGACCGGCCAACGGCTGAATATAATTTCTGACCAAATAAACACTGTCTTTTTTAATCTTTTACACAAGCACCCACCCAGAGGTAACCAAAGTGAGGTGATTGTGTGCTTGTGTGTGTGTGAGTGTGTGTGTGTATGTGTGTGCGTGCGTATGTGTGTGTGTATGTGTGTGTGTATGTGTGTGTGTGTGTGTGTGTGTGTATGTGTGTGCGTGCGTGCGTATGTGTGTGTGTGTGTGTGTGTGTGTGTGTGTGTGTGTGCCTGCGTGCGTGTGTGCATGCGTGTGTGTGTGTGTGTGTGTGCGTGCATAAAATGCACTAAGTGTTCCATTCTGCTGCGTCATGCCTTCCTCAGGGAAGCGGAGAGAAATGGAAATCAAGATGAAATCAGGCTGTATTTCATTTTTCATTGAGTCTCCCAAGGGAAAAGCTTTAAAGGTTGTCCTTGTGTGAACTTCAGCTGGTTTGGATGACCTGAGTTTTCTCACCACAGGCCAGGGCAATGCCAGGGCAATGCCAGGGCAAATAACTCTGGGTGAAAAGAAATCATTTTTATACTTCTTCCTCCTCCTCTTGACCTGGTGTCTGACTTGGTCTAAGACCTCTTATCTTGATGAGAAGGCACCACACAAAGCACCCAAAGAAGATACCAAAATACTTGAACCATTTACAGGAACCCAAACAATTTAGATCAATAACCTTTTCTTGTGAAAAAAAACTGTCATGCATTACTCGGGGAGTACACTTGCACTTGCTGGAAAAGCAGCATGTGAATAAATGCAAACACAAATACACTATAAACTGTGTAAAAAGGGAATTAGAAGTGTCACTCGTGCTGCACAGTGATCCTGGATGCAGCCTTTAAAAAGCTTTACAAGTCCACCCAAAATTCAAACATCATTTATCTTGTTTTACTAGATATTTCTGACTATAGAGCATTATGGGACATTCATAAATCTTTGACTATTATTTCTTTTGTAGTTAGCTGAAAGATGAACCCTTTAGCTCTTCTCTGTGATGGAACGTGAGCAGACTCATGCCCAGTTTTGATTGTTCACTTTGGCCAATAAAACACACATGTCCTAGATTATAGTTATTCTGAGGAAAACAAGTCCACTTAACTATATCTGTGTAACCAACCGTCTCATTTTGATAATACTCATCCATGTGCATTTTAGAAATTCAAAAGTCATTGAGAAAAATATTTTAATATATCAAATATTAAAAATATATTAACATCAAAAATCATAATGCAGTATATTTGCTTGCCAGGTAATGTGCTATCCACATCTGATTTTCTACTTTTTGTTCACTTGGCTTTAGTGAGATCCAACTGTACAAGTCTGATATGCAACATATTTATAACAAAGTAATCTAAAATCTAGTTTCATTTTAGTTAAAACAAAATGGATCAAAGCACATTTTTATCTCCAGCAACATTTCCTTTGATGTATTCTGTTACTGCAATCTGCAAGAGCCCACAAAACCAATAAATATGTGTAAACGTTGAAAAGGACTGGGTGCCTGTGTACAAAATGAAATGGGATCTGGCTTTACAATGAAAGAGAGACAGACCTCCAGCTGTCATTCAGTCAGTCAGTCAGTCACTAGACATTATGCCATGAACCTTTGAATTTAGTGCTTGAAAGGAATGATTTTACATTAGAGGGACAGATGAATTAGATAGCTCAACTGGAAGCATATTTGCTAACTATGTGCATGCAATATAGAATACAGGGCTGTGGCCACAGTCTTACTCATGAATAGATTATTTTCCCTGTACTATGTGCATCTGTCTCAAAAATGTTGTTCCTGACTGAAAAGACAATATGACTTAGAATTTTGCCACCACTTTGTATTATGAGTGTGTTATGATGGTGAGTGTGAGTGTGTATTATTGAGTGTTTTTATCCTGTGTGTTAAATTCCTTAGCTTGATGTAGTTCATTAACTACTTGTGTTAAAGGGTTTTTTAAGGAAAATACCATTTTTGCAATTTTCTTAAAATAAGGTATGGTCAGGCACATTGTTACCTTGAGGCAACAGAAAGTGATTGCATAATTGAGCAACAAAAACCTGGTCTAAAGTCAGTGGCACAGTATTTCACTGTTATTTTAAGGGCGCATCATCAAAGTAGTACTATGCGCCTACATAGGCAGGTGAACAACACGTTTTTCGTGGTTGTAAATTGAACTTTGGCCCTGAGATTAATTTCCTCTGCAGAGAATTGTTCTGCCTTACTACCTCTTAAAACCGCCATTATAATAGCAATCTGCCAAAGTAGATGCTGATTGGTTTATTGCATGCTATACCCAAAACACTTCTATGATTAATTAAGAGATTTAAGAAGTACAACCCTTCTGAACCATGCACCTGGCGCTGCAACTGTTTTTCCTGACATTAAAAGTGGATTTGAACACGCCCTACGCACTTATTCCATGCACTTAGATCGTTAAAATAAAGCCCTAAGAACCTACAGTCATGCTAGCAGCTGTGTGAGGCCACACTTCAGCTGAGCAGTGCTTTTGGTAAAATGCTAAAGCTAATGCTGACATGCTTCAGCATGTTGCAGCATGCTCATGTTCATAGTACTGTTCACCACATTTACCATCTTAGTTTAGTGTGTTAACATGCTAATATTTGCTAATCAGCACTTAACACAAAGTACAGCTGAGACTGATGGGAAGAGCATTAGTGTTGAAGGCATGTCATTAACCTATATATTGGACACACATTTCTGACATGATGATGGTGCTACTGGAAAGTCAGGGGATCACCAAAACATTAGTATAAATTGGGTGGGAATCATGATCATCTATTCAATGCCACTCCATCCGCGAGATGTTGAGATGCTTCATGGGATAACCAAAAACCTGCTGGTGGTTCCAGAGTAAAAATTAGGGGATCATCAATGAGATTAGGAATCATTCTCTGGTGACTTAAAATGTCTACCAAATTTCAGGGCAACAGTCATTGTGACATTTCAATAAAAAACAAACATGTCAACCTGATTGTGGCACTACAGAAGATATCTAAAGTTCACCAAAGTCATAATGGTTCATCCTCTTGAGATCACAAATGTCTGTATAAAGTTCAATGGAATTCTATCTAGTAGTTATAGAAATGTTTGTGACCATCGTGGCCATCCCTAGAGACCATAAAAATAGATTCAAAATAAATACAAAGTAGATTTATCTTCCAAAACAGATTGGAACAAGTCAAAGACACAAGCTCAGTGCCCTGTTTAAATTTATATTAATGTCATTTGGCAGACACAGTTGTCAAGAGCAACTAATGATACTCAAAACTGGGATAATACCATCAAAAGGTTCATGATATTGGCTTGAGATGATGATAAGAAAACAAACCAAACATTTGTTACTTGTCAAGTTGAATCCTTGTTGCAACTTTTATAAATACAGGGTCTACTTTAGGGTGCCCAGTGTACTCATATTAACTCAGTTGGTGCTAACCCCAAATCAATGAGAGCCTAAATGTCCTAAGCTATTGCAGACTGGCCACCTTCATTTCTGTTCCATAGGCAGGAATAAAGCTTCCTCGCAGGACTAATGTGCCGTATGTCTAATGTTTCCAAATAGGGATAAAAATAGCAGAACCACACACTGTTTGTCAATGAAATGTCTTTCCGCTCTAGCTGTGGCTGAGCCCAGAGCCAAATGGGTGCCACTGGATCAATAGGAAAGCAGGAAACAGCACCAGTCGAGCAGTGTGTCAATTCGCTCAATACTGTGGACAACTTTGTTCTGTTTGTGGCCATGAAAGAGCCTCATATTGCCATTAAGTGGACTACAATCAATGGAAACACATGAACCCCCATCCATTTATCATCCATGTAAAAACAGAATAAAATGCTGATCCATGTGAATTTCCTATTCTGTTATGATCGCATCAGAACCTCAGCAACTTTCCTTACTGTCAAATGATTTAA